AGTCTTTTCGAGAGCAATATAGAAAAACAGATCTATCTACCTAGTACAAGAGCTAAGACCTCCATTGTGTGGCATTTCTTTCATGTTGATCCCCAGTACACCTGGCGGGCTATTTGTAACCTCTGTGAAAAAAGTGTTAGCAGAGGTAAACCAGGCAGTCATCTTGGTACATCTACTCTTCAGCGACATTTGCAGGCAAGGCATTCACCTCACTGGACCAGGGCCAACAAATTTGGAGTCACTAGTGGGGAGGAGGACTTTAGCTTGGATGTATCTTTATCTCCCTCTTCTCCTGGAAGCAATGGAAGCTTTGATTATATTCCTGCTGATTCATTAGATGATAATAGAATGGGTAAGAAACGTGATAAATCAGCATCTGATGCCCTAAGGGCAGAAAGAGGGAGATTTCTCATCAAAAGTAACATTGTCAAGCATGCCTTAATTCCTGGAACCAGAGCCAAGACATCTGCAGTTTGGAACTTTTTTTACACTGACCCTCAGCACATCTCAAGAGCTGTGTGTAATATATGTAAAAGAAGTGTGAGCCGAGGTAGGCCAGGTTCCCACTTAGGAACTTCAACACTTCAACGACACCTGCAGGCCACACATCCCATCCATTGGGCGGTTGCCAACAAAGACAGTGGTGCTCTTGGAAATGGATTAGATGAGACTGAGACTGAGAGCAGTGATCTTTTGAATGATACGCATGGAGAGAAGTCCACAGGCAGCCAAGATTTAACAGCTGAGGATCTTAGTGACTCTGATTCAGATGAACCTCCTGTGTTAGAGGTTGAAAATAGATCTGAGAGTCCTATTCCTGTTGTAGAGCAAGACAGTCTCATGCATGAACAAGAGAGAGAAACAACATATTGTGAAAATCCAGCCTCAAGTCAAATAAGTCAGGCAATTATTCAAATGATTGTGGAGGATATGCATCCATACAACTACTTCTCAACTCCAGCTTTTCAGAGGTTCCTGCAGATTGTGGCTCCTGACTATAGATTGCCATCAGAAACTTACTTTTTCACTAAGGTTGTACCTCAGTTATATGACTGTGTCAGAGAAAAGATTTTCTTAACTTTAGAGAATGTCCAAAGTCAAAAGATCCACCTGACTGTTGACATATGGACCCATGACCCATCTACTGACTATTTCATTGTGACTGTACACTGGGTCTCTTTGGAAACTGACTCTTCTCCCAATAATGGCAGGATCCCCAGTTTTAGAAAGTGGGCTGTGCTTTGTGTTACTGGCTTGGCCAAAGACTGTTTGATAACAAACATTTTACAAGAATTAAATGACCAGATTGGTCTGTGGCTTTCTCCCAATTTCCTTATCCCTAGCTTCATTGTTTCTGATAATTCCTCTAATGTGGTACATGCAATCAAAGATGGTGGTTTTACTCATGTGCCCTGCTTCCTGCATTGTTTAAATATAGTCATTCAGGACTTTTTCTGTGAGCACAAAAGCATTGAGAATATGTTAGTGGCTGCTAGGAAAACCTGTCATCATTTTAGTCATTCAGTCAAGGCCCGTCAGATACTGCAAGAATTCCAAAATGATCACCAGCTTCCATGGAAGAATTTGAAGCAGGATGAAACTGGCCATTGGATTTCTACCTTTTATATGTTAAAGTGGCTTTTGGAGCACTGCTACTCAGTTCACCATAGTCTTGGTAGAGCCAGTGGAGTTGTGCTCACATCTCTTCAGTGGACTCTAATGACATATGTTTGTGATATTCTTAAACCATTTGAGGAAGCCACTCAAAAAGTGAGTGTAAAGACCACAGGATTGAATCAGGTGCTACCCCTAATCCATCATCTACTCCTTTCCCTTCAGAAACTCAGAGAAGATTTTCAAGTCAGAGGTATTACTCAGGCCCTCAATCTGGTGGATAGTTTATCTCTGAAACTTGAAACTGATACCCTACTAAGTGCCATGCTCAAATCCAAACCTTGTATCTTGGCTACTTTGTTAGATCCTTGCTTTAAGAACAGTTTGGAAGACTTTTTTCCTCAAGGTGCTGATTTAGAAATTTATAAACAGATTCTTGCAGAAGAGGTTTGTAATTATATGGAATCTTCACCAGAAACTTGTCAAATTGTAGCTTCAGAAGCATCTGGTCCCTTAGTCACAGTAGGAGTTGATTCATATACCTCATCTATAAAAGAAGGCACCTCCAATTCAGGTTCCATGGATATCCCAGCCACAGACACTGTTGCCATTGGAAGCAAAGGCTTCATGTTTCCTTCTGCAATAGCAGTAGTGGATGAGTACTTCAAAGAGAAGTATTCAGAACTCTCAGGAGGTGATGATCCTTTGATTTATTGGCAAAGGAAACTGAGCATATGGCCAGCTTTGACCCAAGTTGCTATTCAGTATCTAAGTTGCCCCATGTGTAGTTGGCAATCTGAATGTATCTTTACTTCAAATAGCCACTTCCATCCAAAGCAGATCATGAGCCTGGACTTTGACAATATAGAACAGCTGATGTTTCTGAAAATGAACTTGAAAAATGTTAACTATGATTATTCTGCATTGGTTCTAAGCCAGGATCCCCAGAATAAGGTTGTTCAAAGCAATGAAAAAGAAATATTGTCTTGATTTCTTTTTCCTTTCTCCATTTAAAATGGGCAAACTTTTTTGCTATTTTATTGTATCCTTACTGCTATAGTTATTATATAGTCATACTAATCATTCTTTCAAAAACAGCCGAGCATGGTGACTCACTCCTGTAATCCCAGCTACTTGGGAGGCTGAGRCGGAGAATTGCTTAAGCCCACAAGTTCGAGACCAGCCTGGGCAATAGAACCAGACCCCTATCTCTAAAAACAAGCAGCCACAAAACTGAATCTGGGGAAACCCGAAAACAAAAAGGGCTGGAAATTCCTCAGAGACAATATAATGTTGATAAAATGAAGGTTAACTCGAAAGATTTCACAGGTGTAAACTTAATGTTACACCTTGGAAATTTTGAAAATGTTTATATCATTTGAGAAAGAAAAGATTTTTTTAACTAAAAAAAAATATAGTGCAGCATTGAAAGGCCTTAGGCTATTTCTGACTGGTAGATTCAACTAGTAATTAAAATAAAAATTTCCTCCAGCATGAGAGGTTTGATTACTCTGAAACCAATGAATTGAGAAAAACAATAACATACTAAATTGCTACTCCTTCCCTCTCCCCATTTTTCTATATCTTTTAAAACCCTGATGCTCAGTTATAATTTGGCAGAAAAAGAGAAAAATTTGTTTTCTATTTGGAAATTTCTAATTGCCTCCTCATACTGGTCAGCTTTATAATTTCAAATTATTGGGCATGATAGAATTACCCTTTATGTTTAGGATTGAATCTGTATAAAAGGGAAAGAGAGGAAACAATTAGGAAAATAGTTATTTTTAGTCTTTGAATTGTCTTTTTAACCTTATATATAGGATAAAACTATAAAATAAAGATTATATAGGTGCTTTTGCATAATTTATGGGTTAATAATAGTAAAAAGTTTGCAAAACTGGAAACTGTTGAACAGGATTGGATTATAAGCCCTGTGAGCATACTTAAACAAAACCAGTTTGCCTTTCCTGAAGAATGTTTTTTTAATTTTTGGTGATTTTTTGAAAAACATACTTAATGATCCGTAATATTAATATTAACTAACTGAAGTTGTTTTGGCCACTGTATATTCTTAACTAAAAATAAGCAGTCAGCATTTTCATGTGTTCGGAATCATTGGTGAAATAAGTGAATTAATCCCAGTGATCCTTTAAAGGTCCCTTTCCACTCTGGAAGTATGTTTCTGTATTTGAGTGGGAAGCCAGAAAATGATGACTTTTAGTAAAAGTCTATTAGAAGTTTCAGACTGAATAACTAATGTAAGATCCCAATTTTTCCTTTTTTTCATTTTAGATTTGGGGATATTCCCTGCCCAAAAAAATCCTGGAAAATTGACTAGTATTAAGTGTGAGTAAAAGGTGTCCACTTTTTTTTAAGTTTTGATTTTAGTTTTGTCTTGGATAGTATTTGGCAAGATTTAGCCTAGAAATTATGTAGTATTTATTATGTGAGAATCAAAATTGCTTTGTTACTGGGCTGGTTTCAAAAATTTAGAAAACTCATTTCTGTACATCAAAAAAAAATTTTTTTTATTCTTAAATGGTAAATGTACCATTGTGAAATGAAATTTCAACTCCAAAATATACCCTTTTACTAACTGGAGTAAATGGATAATTATAGTCTTTAAAAGCTATAGCCATCAGTAGTAAAGAATTTGGTTCTAGGCTGCATAAGCAAGCCCTTACAGGGCTGGTGTTAATATAAAAGAAGGAAAAAAAAAAGTCTTCCCTTGGATAAAAGCTTTCTGTGTTTTGACAGTGCCAGTTCAGAATGGCTATAATGCTGCTCTGCCTTCTACAGCTTGCTGCACCACTCTGTAGTTACTCTATAACTATACGTTTCTATCTTTTTTGGTTAAACACTCCTTGATGATGATATAGATACATCATTTTATACACCTTGATATATGTATAAGGGTTTCCCTTCATCTTTATTTTGTGGGCTGGGCAAAATTAGCTTCGTGCTACTTGGGTATGTAAGTTCACTATTTTTATAATGTACTCAAATCTACAGTCTTTTATAGTGTATTTTTAAAAAGGAAACTTACCCAGATGTTTTATTTCTACACATTTGTGTGTGTGTGTGTGTTTGTATGTATGTGTATAAGCCAGTTAGTATATGTGTATATTATATACATAAAACACTATATATTTTTACATACAAGTATGCTTTTATTATACAGATAATAAAGATGGGGGAAGGTTTCTGTTTTTTTCTTAATAGGTGAAGAAATCTTGAAGACCAGAAATTGGATCTTATTGATTTTGGTGTTTTTTTCTTTTCCTTTTTTCTTTTTTTCCCTTTTTTTTTTCTTTTTTTTTTTTCTTTTTCTTTTTTTTTTTTTTTCCTTTTTAAATTATATTGTTCGGCTATGGAAGATGGATTTTTTAAAAAAATCTTTGAATTTCAAGTTCATCTTTTAAATGAACTTTTTTGTTCTTGTTTTTTCTTTTTGAGGAGATAACTAATGCTAGCTGTCTCCAGGCTGGCAAAGGTTATTCGAATGGACTTAATCTTCCAGTAGTTGGGAGATGTTTTAAAAACACATCCTGTGTTTCAATTGTGGCTGAGAGGTTTCCTTGGCAATGTGAGGAAGAAAATTCTTTCTGCCTCATTATTATTAATTCATGGATTGAGTGTTGGTTCGACCTACAGGCGTAATAGATTGGAACTCAGTGAAGACACAGACGTTCCTGTTGAGAGCAACCAGCTAATGTAAGTGGGGGAAATGGGTCTTTTCTCATTAAAGGAGTAAAAACTTTGGTAATTTTAAGGCAAAATTTTCCTGGACTAGTAAGAAATTAAAAGGCTATTGTCCAGTCATTTTTTTTCTTGTAATTATTCACAAACTTTTAGTTTTTGAATAGAAACATGTTTGTTCTTTCTTTTGTTTTTGATAGTGCACATTGTGAAAAGGTAAAAACAATACAGCTAAGGTGAAATCCTCCCCTAAKTCCATTTCCTTGAAGGAAAACATTTAATAGTTTATCACAACATGGTTCCTTGCCCATACACATTACTCTGCCTCATCTTTTTAATGACTATGTAGTGTTCCATTGTCCACTGTAACTCAATGTATTCCCTCATTGGTAAACATTTGGGGTTTTACAAACAAAAATATCCCTGTGTCTAATAGTAGCCTTATGCACCCATCTACATGAACTTGTTTCCGTAGAACAAGTTCTTGGATGCAAATTTATGGAATTATTATATTTTATATAATAATTATCATAATAATAATTTGTATATAATTTTTATAAGAGGTTGTAGAAGTTTACTGAACAATTAAGGAGGTCTTAATTTGCAAAAGTTATAGGCGTTTATCTTTTTGTAATGATAGTAATCTTTGGCCATATTGCTGATAGATCTTTTGCTATTTAAATGTTTTCCAGTTTTATCAATATTATTGTTATAGTTTTTATCATTGGTACCTTAGGAAAGGGTTTTTTTTCCCACTCTGAGCTTAAAAAATTTTTTTTTTCTGAGTGTCTAGGTGAATATGTATTTTATTTTAAAAATGCTGAGGATTGTAGTTATATGACATTGCCACTGTTACGAAGTTCTTTTTTTTTTTTTTTTTTTCAAATAGCTGGTCATTTTTCTTGTTAATCTCAAATGCCACTTATTTTTATAAATCACATTATAACTTAAAAGGATGCTCTTGAATTCTATTGAACTGTATTTCATTTGCCAACGTTACATGTAAATATTGTTGTATTTGCCATTTGTAATATCAGGCAGAGGGAGGCTCTTCCATTTCTTTTTAAAGTATCTTTTTTTCCCCTCACTTATACTTCTAGGTGATTTTATAATCTGTCAATTCCAATAATAAAGTCTCATTGGGATTTGGCATGAATTACATTCAATGTATGCATTTTGAAGTTACTTCTTAAATTTATCCGTTGTCCAGATCATCTGTGCCTTAGTCATTTCATAGTTTTGGGGGTTTGTTTTTGATTCGATGTGACTTTTGCATACCCTTCATTTTTTTTTCTATATATTTTATGGTTTTATTGTGAATGACGCTCGTGTCTGAATGATTGTTGCTGGCATTAAGCAGATTACKGCTTTTTGTATATTTATATTATTATTTTTATTGCTTTTAAATTATTAAATTTACTAGTTTGCAAGCATATAATTTGCAGATTTTTTAATTATGATTTTTGGTCTCATCCTTCCTTGTATTTTTTTCTTGACTACATACTAGAACCTCTGGAACAGGTTTTTTGGTTTTGCTTTGTTTTGTTTTGGGGGGGTAGGGTGGGGGGGTAATGGGGACTGACTGACCCCAGGGTTGCTACATCCCTAGTCCTTTTATTTTTATTTTGAGACAGGGTCTCGCTAAGTTGCCCAGGCTGGCTTCAAACTTGTGATCCTTCTGCCTCAGCCTTCCGAGTTGCTGGGATTATAGGAATGTGTCCTACTCTGGAAGAGTTTTGAATGATAGTGGCAACAGTTGAGTATCTTTGCATCTGTCTTCAGTGAGTTCACCCGTAGTACTTTACCCTCTGTGCATGCTGCCAATTTGATGATTATATGCATTTATGCTAAGGCAGTTCCTTTTTTATTTTTTTAAAACCAGGAGTAGATGTTGCATTTTAACTTCCTTGCTTTTTTCAGGGGGGTACCAGGGTTTGAACCCAGGGGCCATTTACCACTGAGTTATATCCCCAGTCCTTTTTATTTTTTATTTTAGGACAGGGTCTTGTTAAATTGCCCAGGCCGGATTAAACTTGAGATCCTTCTGCCTCAGCCTCTCTCACCTCTAAGATTATATAGGCATGCACAACTATGCCCAGCTTAGCTTGCCCCTTTTTTAGCCATTATTGTCTTTTTTTTAAAAAAAATACCATTTTGAACTCCTTTTGGGTTTTTTTGTTTTTGTTTTTTTCCCCTCTTTTAACCATTTTTTTCTTTTTCATTTTTTTTTAGAAGATAGACACAATACATTTGTTTGTTTGTTTGTTATGTGGTCCAACCCAATGCCTCCACACTTGATAGGCAAGCACTTTACCACTGAGCTGCAGCCCCAGCTCTCCCTCCCTCCTTTTTTGTACTGCACATTGAACCCAGAGATGCTTTACCACTAAATGAATTCCCAGCCCCCTTTTTTTATTTTTTACTTTTAGACAGGATCTCATTAAGTTGCTAACCTTAAACTTGCAATCCTCCTGCCTCAGCCTTCTGAGTAGCTGGGATCACAGGTGTGTACCTCTGTGTCTGGCCATTTTATTTCTTTTGAAATCTTGCTTAGAGTACCACAGGGGTTGGTTTTTTTTTTTAATGCCCTTTATTAATGTAATGAATTGCTTAATGTTAGACCATTCTTAGTTCTGAAATGAGCCTATTAGAAGAGTGTATTACTCTTTTAATACATTGCTGGTTTAACTGGCTAATGCTTTATTGGGATTTTTATTTGTATCATAAATCAGATGTCTGAAGTAGTTGTTTTAAAACTTTTTTAAAAGAGTGAAATAGTACTTATTTTTCAGGGGGGTACCAGGGTTTGAACCCAGCAGCCATTTACCGCTGAGTTATATCCCCAGTCCTTTTTATTTTTTATAAAAATAATATGGTTTGTTTTGTTCTTTTGCACTTTTATTGAGTTCTTTTTTCTGAGTAATTCTTCCTAATTTATTCCTTACTTGGATGATTTTTTTCCAAAAATGGAAAAAGTACATAAAGAGTATACTTGGACTTTTGTTTTTGTTTATTTTTGGTACTGGGGATTGAACTCTGGTGCTTTACCATTGAGCAACATCTGCAGTCCTTTTTATTTTTTAATTTGAAACAGGGTCTTTCTAAGTTGCTCAAAGTTCTTCTAATGTGCCCAGGCTGTCTTCAATCTTGTGATCCTTCTGCCTTGGCCTCCTTAACTGATGGGGTTAAAGGTATGCACCACCATGGCTGGGAAGGGCATACTTTTTGAGACTTTCCATGTGTAAAAACTTGAGCTGTTCATGAAATATAGTTTGAAAGGCTAAATCTAAGGTCATAATATCCTTTAGATCTGGTTGCGTAGTATTGTCTTTTGGAATTTAGAATTTCAGATGCGAAGTGTAATAATGTCAAGTCTGTTGTTCTTTGCTTTATTAGTCTGCTTTTTCCTGGAAGTTTACAAGACTTTGTCTTTACTGTTGGAATTAAAAATTTTTTAACCATGTCTATGTAGAGTAGAATAATCTTAAAAGTTTAGTAGGGCATATGATAAGCCTCTTTTTAAAGGCTCAAGTTCATCCAGTTTAGAGAAGTTTTCTGGTATTTTTTCCTCTTATTGTGCTACCAATTTCATTTCTTTTTTTAGAATTTCTGTTGTCTAGAAATTGAATTTCCTAAAATTCCATGTTGTATACCTTTTCTCTCGTTGACATCTTTTCCATTTTTGCTTTGGATTCTCAGAGGTGTTCTGCCAGTGATCTCTTAAAATTCAATTGTGTTTTTCATTGATTTTTATTCTGTTATTCTGTTCCCTCCATTAAACTATCTTTGAGGTGAAAAGATAGAAATTTGAGTTTTCTAAGGTTTCTCTTTCTTTCAACCCTTCCCTGCCCACCCTGGTACTGATTAAACCCAGGGGTGCTTTACCACCAAGGTACACCCCAATCTCTTAGATAGGATCTCGCTAAATTGCCCAGGTGGCCTCAATTTTTAATATTTTTAAAAATATTGATGGACCTCTATTTTATTCATTTATTTATATGTGATGCTGAGGATGGAACCCAGTGCCTAACACATGCTAGGCAAGTGCTGTACTGTTGAGCCACAACTCTAACCCCAAAATTGCCATTTTTTAAAATAGCAATTATGTTCATATTTTTTTCCTATTGAAAGTTATAGAAGTCCAGTAATGTGAAACATACATAGAGGATCCTTTCTGTTGAAACATTAGTAAGGAAGTGCCTATCTACTCAAGATTCAATCTCCCCACATTCTGCTTAACTTTGAGGGAGCTTTGCAGACCTAAATTTGCAATTCAAACTATTTTACCCCTTAATGAAAGTTTACCTTTTACCCCTTAATGAAAAATAATACACACACACACACACATATGTATATGTATACACATGTGCACACACGTACAAATTTTGTGTGTGTATATTTATATATGTGGTGGTGCGAATTGAACTCTTTGTCACTGAGCTATTGCAGCCCTTTTTAAAAATTTGAGACAGAGTTCTTGCCAAGTTACCTGTCTTGCAAAGATTTTCTCCCAACCTATGGTTTATCTTTTTATCCTCTTATCAGTTTTTTCGTAGAACAGATGTTTATTTTTTTTGAGACAGGGTCTTACTAAATTGCTTAGGGCCTCACTAAATTCCTTGAGGCTGGCTTTGAACATCTGATCCTCCTGCCTCAGCCCCTAGATACTAGGATTACAGGTCTTCATCACTTTGCTTGATTCTCCCCATCCCCATATGAATAAGCTAAGTATTTTCCAAATCTTTAAGGTCTGCTTCTTTTTTGTTTAATAGTTCCTTGATATATCTCTTCTTCTTGCACGTTCCTGTCAACAGTAAGGCAAAAACATGCTGTTCCTCCACAGTTTGCTTAGACATCTCAGGTAAATATCCACAGTCTTTGCTTACAAGTTCTACCTTCCACGCAACAGAACACAGTTCCACCAAGTTCTCTACCATTTTGTAACAATCATCTTTCCTCAAGTTTCTGATAACTTGCTCCTATTTCCAACTGAGACCTCACCAGAAGTACCTTTAAACATAATTCTTTTTAGCTGTAATTTCTAGGTTTCTTCTGTGAAGCGCTTCAGAACTCTTCCAGCCTCTACTTATGACTGTATTCCAAAGCTGCATCCCCATTTCTAGGGATATTTTTATATCACTGTTAACTATTTGGTACCAAACTCTGTTAGGCAGCACATTGTTGTATTGTGGATGTACTATAATTTTTTTAAACAGACTCTGGTTTTTGAACATTAGAAACAAGATGGTGATGTATTTTCTTGGGTATTATTACCTTGAATATTTTTTGAATATTCTTATCTTAGGATAAATTTTAGGAATTGTATAACTGGGTCAAAGGGTTTATGCAGTTTAAAACTTTTGGTACATGGTTAGTTACAGACTCTTCTCCTTACCTAGGTTGTTGACTTGAAGATTGGTTTTCATCATGGCATAGTAGTCTTGGATTAGGAATTACTAGTGGGAGATAAGATTCAGTTTGTTTTGATTTCAAGTGGTAGATCAATGTTTATGAAACCTGATCTTCTGGTGTATGGATATAAAGAAAACCCTTCCATATTCTCATGTATGCTTTTATATATTTGCTGTAGAGAGAGTGAGAGAGAGAGAGAGGTCGTAATGGACATAATACCTTTATTTTATTTATTTTTTTTATATGATGAAGAGGATTTAACCCAGTGCCTCACACATGCTAGGCAAGCGCTCTACAACTGAGCCACAACCGCAGCCCTATATTGGATTTTATAGAAGCTTTCTTGAACACTTTAGTGTGGGGACCAGGGTATGGCAGGGGCTTGAGGCTAGAATGTTCATTGTTTTGTTGAATTACTGTTTTATGGGAATAGTCTTGAAGACTTCTTTTGCTCCTTACTTATAATGTGCAGCTCTTTAGCCACCTTCAGTATATAAGCTAACTCAGATGTTTTCAAAGGTAATTCTTTCACCAATTATTACAGCTAATATTTTCCCACCTAGTTACAATGGTATACTTTTGAAATAAAACAAATGGTTATGAAGCTATCTGAACTTTTTCATTTAGATGAAAAAAAACCTAGTGCTAGAAATGTAGATTTAGAAAGTATCTTGTGTAAAGTAACCTAGATCCCATGAATCTATGTAGATCATATATTTAGTTACAATACTTATATAAATTTTATTCTGAAATTAAAAAAAAACAAAAAAAATTTATTCTGAAGCAGTAATAAACAGGCACCCTATGAGAATACAAAAGAAAAAAAAGGACATGGTTATCTTTAATAAAATTTTAACATTGTAGATGGGAATGTACAATATTCTCAGTCATTATGTTTACAAGGCTCTGTTGAGACATGTGTATGTTAATATAATTAGTTAAAATTTGGTTTTAACAAAGTAATCTTAGGGTGATTTGGTGGAGAATGTTGCAGGAATTTACCTGAAATGTTTTAATTCATTGTCTCCTTATTTTAGGATTGTGTTTTAAAGCCGATTTCTGTGATTGAGTTGTCATTTGGAAGATCAAACCCATTTCAAAAGGATTTGGCGCTGGTCCTCGCCTTGAGGAAGCAGTGGCTTACTTCAAGAAGCCATTTTCTGGGCTAAGAATTTACCCAGCATGTCTAATCAAGGAGAAGACTGCTATTTTTTTTTCTATTCTACATGTACCAAAGTAAGTATTTATATTACTGAATCAGTTTTATTTATAGTTTCTTTAATAAATGAGGGTTTTTCATGCATCCTAAATTGCTTTTGTTTTGTTTTGCTCAACTGTTTATCTGCTGTCAGTTTTATATTAAAGAAGAATTTTATTTTTTCTCTGCATTTTATATATAACTAATTTTTCCATATTCTAAAAAAAATGAAATGACCAGTGGCACAGTCATCAGTGTTCTCTTATCTGTAATTAATCTATTCAGAGTGTCTTTGGAACTGTGGGCACTTTGATCCATGGCTTATTCTCTTTGATTTTATGTATTTTGTATTAAGTGAGTGGGTGGTTGTATTATATTTTAGAAACTATTATGGGTTGAATTTGACTTCTCCCAGATTTCTTGTGGCTAAGAATATAAAGCTATCTTTTTTAAAAAATATTTATTTTTTTAGGTGTAGATGGACATAACACAATGCCTTTATTTTTATGTGGTGCTGAGGATCGAACCCTGGGTCCTGCCCGTGCTAGGCGAGCGCTTTACCGCTGAGCCACAATCCCAGCCATAAAGCTATCTTTCTAAATATGCTTTTGTAGCATTTTTGCTTTGTCTTTGTCCAAATTTCCTATTTTTCTGCTTGATTCTTCTGTATCTCTATTTAGATAGGTACTACTTTCAGTTAYTTCTTTATGACATTCTGTGCATTTGTATGGGGTTTTTTTGTTTGTTGTTATTTTTTTTGGTTTTTCGTACTGGAAATTGAACCCCGGATTGCTTATTGAACCCAGTGCCTCATGTTCATCTGTGCGAGGCAAGTGCTCTACCGCTGAGCCACAACCCCAGCCTCCCCAACCCCACCATCCGTTTTTTATGTTTTATTTTGAAATAGGGCCTCACTAAGTGCTTAGGGCCTCATGAAGTTGCTAAGGTTGATCTTGAACTTGAAATCCTCCTGCCTCTGCCTCCTGAGTCACTGGGATTATGGGAGTATGCCACCATGCCCAGCACATTAATGTGTTATAGTAACTTTTTCTTGAATCATCTTGATGTTGTATTTAAAATGGTAAGTTTTAGGATTGGGAGTATAGTTCTGTGGCAGAGTGCTTGTTTCCTGATGCATAAGGTCCTAGGTCCAGTCCCTAACTGGGAGTTGGGGGAGGACCTCCACAAAATAATAAGTTTTAAGCAAAGTTCTGATAATGTAATCTATTTCACAAACAGCAGTTTGCACACTTGCATTTTGTTTCAGCTAAGGTATGAAGAGAAGCTTAAATTATATTAGTTATAGATTGATTACACTTTTTTTTTTTTTTTTTGGTGTTGGGGATTGAACCCCAGGGCTTTGTGCATGTAAGGCAATTACTCTACTGACTGAGCCCTAGATTGATTATACTTAAGTCCTTATCTGTTAACTTTGTAATTTGCTCTCAAAAGCTGGAATTACACAAGTTAGGATGTGTGGAATGCTTTTGAAGATGAACTGTCGTTTTCAACCCTGTCTTTCATCTTGTGTCACTCAGATTGTCAGGTCAGATGAAGGATACTGTCAAGAAGGAGATTATAGTCATCCCAATTCAGTTATTTTCTGCCATACCTGTCTTCCTTACTAATTTATGTTTGTCTAGATTCTAGACTCTTTTTACCTAGGATGCCTATTTCAGTTACACATGTTCTTTATGTTCTTTTTTATTAACAGGGTGACAGCTGCCCATTCCGTCACTGTGAAGCTGCACTAGGAAATGAAACTGTTTGCACATTATGGCAGGAAGGGCGCTGTTTTCGACAGGTGTGCAGGTTTCGACACATGGAAATTGATGTAAGCTTTTGATTTGCATTACCATAATGTTCCAGTGAAATTTCTGACATTAATGCTCACTTTTTTTTAAAAATTTCTTTTATTTTTTCATTAATGCTCACTTAACAATTAAATGTTTGCTCCTTTTTTGGCGGCCTCGGTGGAGGGGTACTGGGGATTGAACTCAGGGTCACTCAACAACTGAGCCACATCCCCAACGTTGTTTTGTATTTTAGAGACAGGATCTCATTGAGTTGCTTAACACCTCAGTTTTGCTGAGGCTGGCTTTGAACTTGCAATCCTCCTGCCTCAGCCTCCCAAACTGCTGGGATTACAGGTGTGCACCACCTYTCCTGGCCAATAACTAAATGTTACAGAGCATGAATCAGTATGATTTTTCTGGAAGGCAGTTGCTAATATATTTATCTCTATTTTTTGGTAACAGGGCATTGTACTCATGGCCTTATACTTTCTAGACAAACATTCTACCACTGAGCTACATCCAAAGATCTTTTTAAAATTTTATTTTGAGACAGCATCTTGCTAAACAGTTCAGCCTAGCCTCAAACTTTGAATCCTTCTGGCTCAGCCTCCCAAATAGCTGGCATTATAGGCCTGTGCTACAGTGCCCAGCTGTATTCCTTATTTCCAAACAATTACAAACTCAGGAAAATTGGAAGTACAGTATAAATCTTCATAAGCAATTCGGCAGTCAATTACTGACATTCTTGATCATTTCCAGATACTTTAAATATTTCCTTAGAAAAGGAAACAGGAAGCTATCAATGTTAGAAAATTAGCATTGATATGTTACCTCTGTTTAACCCTCAGATCCCATGCAGGTTTTGTGAGTTGTCCCAGTTATATCCTTTATGGTCGGAGCAAGTCCAGATTCAAGTGTTGCCTGTAGCTGTCATGATGCTTTAGTCTAATTCAGTCAAGAGCAGTTGCTTAGTCTTGCCTTGCCTTTTATTGGTCTTGACACTTTTTGGTCACTTATTTTGTTGAATGTTCCTTGACTGGGGTTTATTTGTATTTTCTCATTACTGAATTAAGATAGTGTATCTTTAACAGAAGTATCACAAAAGTAGTATTTTCACTGCATATCATCAGGTGGTGTTCAATTTTACTTTTCCCATTAGTGGTGTTTTAATTTGGATCACCTGATTAAAATGGTATCTGCCAGATTGTTTTCTCAAGAAAAAAGTTTTTTAAGTTTAGAAGTTTTTGTCGGGAGATACTTTGAGACCCTATAAATATCCTGTTTCTCATCAAAAAAAAWTTTTTTCCAGGTATTTATTTATATTAGTGTGAAGTCATGGTTTCATTTTATTCAATGTGTTGTATTCCGTTACTATTGTTGTTTATTTTTAATGCTCACTTTATTTTTTAATGCTCCGGAACGGGGCCTGTAGGAGCCCTTCAAGCTGACTTTTATATACTTTTCATCATTCATCATTCTTTAGAACCCTTTCTTTTTGTCTTATTTTCTGGGTTATCCTGTAATTTTCCTCCTCAAGCCCTAGAATCAGCCATTTCTCCATGATGTACTGGTTTCTTTTAGTGAAGAATGGTGTATAGAAACTAAGCTTAGGGCTATTCTTAGAATATCATTGCTTCCAGCTTCTCTTAGTGGACAGAGCTCTGGAATATATAAGTATATATGCAGATGGACATGTACATAATTAATTGTTACTTTGTGCTTATTAAAAAAACATGAGTTCACATAGATGCTTCTAGTTCCTTGATATCATAGGGTTTGGTTAGGCTTCTCTCATTAACTCTTCAAAAATGAGAAATGTGGTCCCCATTGTTCTTAATGCTTTAACTTATTTGATCAGTCCCTTAGTAAATCAATATTCTGTCACAACGTCTTCCATCCTTTCAGGCTATGACGCCACACATGAGGCTGCCCCTCTACAGGGAAACTTTTCTCATCTTGGGTTTTTTTTTTTTTTTTTGTACCGGATATTGAACTTAGGGGCACTCAACCACCAAGCTACATCCCCAGCCCTATTTTGTATTTTATTTAGAGACAGGGTCTCACTGAGTTGCTTAGTGCCTTGCCTTTGCTCAGGCTGGCTTTGAACTCATGATCCTCCTGCCTCAGTTTCTCAAGCTGCTGGGATTTCAGGCATGCACCACCAGGCCCGGATCATCTTGTTTTGACTGTAGCATACAGTGGCTGGCTCCCTCTATTACTCCATGGTGGGGAAACCTTTCCTTACCCAGCTCAGACCCCAGTATTCTACTCTGGACTAAAATCTCCCCAGTAGATGCTCTTTTCACTCCTTTGGGCTCTAATACTTTATAGTAGGCCACCCTCCCATGTGATATGCTCCTTTCCTACTTTGTACCAATTTCTCTCAGGAAGACCCAACCTTACTCAACCAATTGGATCTTTGATGCCCGTTGCATTCTGCCTACGTGAGTATAGCCTCTTCATCCTACATGGGGATCATCTGTGCACAGAATCCTTGCTCACCACTCAGACTCCAACACTGGTCAGGCCATCCTCCCATGTAGTGTCCTCTTAACCCATTGTAAGTTCCAATATCGTACTCAGGCCCCAGCATCCTGCTCTGGGCCACCATCCATTTTTTTCCCCCAGATGAGTGCCCGGTTCCCTCRCGCCCATGTAATGACTTTGGACCAACATGTTAAGGTGGGATGAGGGAGAAAAAAAAGAGAGACTACATATGCAAATTGTATGCCTGTGGTCATATAACTACTTCAATTTGCTTCTAGATTTTATTTCTGAACTCCATTCTAAGCTCCCTTCCTTGCAGATAGCCAGAGGACTCACTAAATAAATTCAGAAAAATCCTACTGTATAACTTTTGCAAAGTCATGTGTAACATTGCTCCTGCAGAGTAAATAGGCACAACTCCTATGGAGAGTTATATCAGGATCTCTGTGAACAATTCTCTACAGTATTCTCCCAGCTGTGATTTTTTACAACAGTAGAGTAAGGATACACTGTTGGATCATAAGAGAAAGAGAGTCTGGCTGAAGCAACATGCAAGCTTGTTTGTTTTTTTTTGTGGTGGTTTTGGAAATTGAACCCAGTGCTCTTGCATGCTAGGCAAGCGCTCTACCATTGAGCCTATATGTGGATCCCTTTTTATTTTATTTTTTGAAATATGCTAAATGCCTAGGCTGACCTTGAACTTGCAATCCTCCTATGTAGCTAGGATTCCATGCCCAGCTAGCCTGCAGGTTTGTTTTTGCTTACTCCCTCCCCTGGGAGTTGCACAGAATATACTCTTTCCTCTGCAATGAAATGTAGCAACTCGTGATATTTTTGCCCAGAAAGGTCCATTATAGACTTGCTGTCCCAGGTTTTTCTTAGGGATGGCCAATAGGGTATTAGGCGCTTGTTTTCTAACATGTACCAAAATTCTAGACTCAGGAAGGAACATTATTCACCATAAACCATATTATTTGCACAGACAGTTTAAGCACAGTGAGCCTCTTCTCTCCCCCCATTATCAGTTAACTGGGGGCATTCTAAGGGCCAGATTTTCAGATGCTAGCCAAAGACCAACCATGCATACAGGCCTTTCTAGGGAGAATAGTCTCAGACCTGTTAAAATTTCTATACAGACTTAGTTGGCTGCATCTCTGAGAACTAGATTATGTGTTGATTGGTTGATGAAGATGTGACCAGAGAATCATAGGAAACTGACCCTGTATTTCCCTTAGAAGCATTGGTTTAGTGTTCACTAATTCAGTGTCTCCAGTGACTTCATAGAACATAGCTATTTAAATAATTCATGAGAATCAACAGTCTATACTTGGACCCTGTGAAATTAAACTATTACAAATGATGTTGCTTTGAACATTCCCCACATTGGTGCTGGGGATTAAACCAAGGGCCTTATGCATGCTAGGCAGATAGTCTGTCACTGAGTTACACCCCAACCCTGCAGATATTCTTCTCCCCCAGTTCTCTTTTRTAACAGTGAGGTGGCTTGGAAGAATACATACCATCCTTAGTAAGTTATATGTGCCTGCCTTTGAGAAATCAAGAATGAAAAATTTTCTAAGAACCTTGAAATTACATCTTCAAATAATAACTGCAGTTCATTGACTTGATTCTGTGTACTAGGTGCTTCACATACATTATTTCATTTAATCTTCATTTAAAAAAATAAAACATTATTTAGCTACTATCACATTCCCATTTTATAGCTAAGAAAAGTGAAGTTGAGAGTATTATTTAGCTACTATCACATTCCCATTTTATAGCTAAGGAAAGTGAAGTTGAGAGGCATTAAATTGTTCTAGGTCACATGGCTAACATTAACATATATTCTTAGGTACTTACTATATTATCCTACTTTCAGGATGAGGGCAAGAAGGAAACATTAGCAGATAAACCGTACTCCTGTTCCTTCCATCTCACTACTATGTCTAAACTATGTCACTTTCAGCAACCTCTCTACTTTTTGCTAAAAATCATCTCTCATGCCTTAGATTTTTTTAAAAAATAATTTTATTTTATTTTATTTATTTGTGGTGCTGAGGATTGAATCCAGCACCTTGCACGTGCTAGGCCTGCTGAGCCACAATCCCAGCCCCTCACGTCTCAGATTTTTATACCTTGTGTTAACTTTGTCCAGAAAACAAATTACTGGATTAATACAGGATTCCCTTTGTTCTTTATTTGAAAACAATGTGTCTTTGTCTCTTACAGAAAAAACGCAGTGAAATTCCTTGTTATTGGGAAAATCAACCAATGGGATGTCAAAAACTGAACTGCGCTTTCCATCACAACAGAGGACGTTATGTTGATGGCCTGTTTCTACCTCCAAGCAAAAGTGAGATGAGTTTTTAGTTTTAAAAGAATATATATTATTAAATGAATGCCTACTATACACACTACACAAAGTACTTTTTATACATTGCCTTCTTTCAGTCTAGTGACAAAGTAGTATTATTTCCACTTTGCAGATGAGGAAACTGAACCTTATTAAGGTTAGATTATTTGTACATAGTCATAGAACCAAATGTTTCCTGGCATGCCAGATTAGATTCCTATAGCTTGCTTTAGTTCTCATTCTCTTACCAGATCCATAGAGGGGTCATATAGATTSTCAAAAGAAACTTCATTCCACAGGGGATGGCAAGTCTGGTCTTCAGTCTATTTTGTAAAACATTTATAGAATGCAGCCTTGTCCATTCAGTTACATATTTTGTTTGGCCGGTTTTTATGGTACCCCTGCAGAGTTGAATAGTTGAGACAGCAACCATATGCAAGGCCTAGAAGAGTTGGGCTCTTTATAGAAAAAGTTTGCCAACCATGCCCTAAGCTATCAGCTATAATAAAATATATATTCTCCAGAAATCTGGCATTTCTTTCCAAAGTCCCCTTTAAAGTAATTTCCATCTGGAATTATTGCCCATTAAAAAGGCACATCCAGGGCTGGGGATGTGGCTCAAGCAGTAGTGCGCTCGCCTGGCATGTGTGCGGCCCGAGTTCGATCCTCAGCACCACATACAAACAAAGATGTTGTGTCCGCCGAAAACTAAAAAATAAATAAAATAAATATTAAAATTCTCTCTTCTCTCTCTCTCTCTCTTTCTCTCTTCTCTCTCTCTCTCTCTCTCTCTTTTAAAAAAAAAAAAAAAAGCACATCCATGACTGGGGGTATTGCTCAGTGGTTGAGCACTTGCCTGGCATGCACTAAGTCCTGGGGTTCAGTGCTCAATAATGCATAAATAAATAAACAGCCACATTTGCTATGTGATTAAAATTTTATGGCTACATCTTTTCATGTCTAATTAGGTGCAAAAAATAGGATCAGTCTTTTCTACACCCCCCACCCCCCTTTTGATGGTGGTGGTGGTACTAGAGATTGAACCCAGGAGCTCTCTACTACTGAGTTACATCTGCAGCCCTTATTTGAGACAGGGTCTCTCAAGCTTGCCCAAGTGACCTCAAACTTTCTAGCACTTGCCTCAGCCTCACACGTAGCTGGAATTACAGGCATGCACCACTGTACCCTGCTAGAACCTTAATTTTAAAATTAAATGGATAGAATTTGCAAACCACTGCTATACACCCAGTCTTTTGATTTATGAGTTTCCACTGTGTTTCAATATAGTGAAGAGTTATTGGCTAAAATTCCATTTTTTTTTTTTTTTTTGTCCCTGCACGTACAAAACCTAAATGGGAAAATTAGGTTAAGAAGTCTTGGGGCTGGAGTTGTGGCTCAGTGTAGAGTGCTCACCTAGCATGCACAAGGCACGAGGCACTGGGTTTGATCCTCAGCACCACATAAATGTAAATTAAAGATATATTTTTTTAAAGTCTTGGGAAAATATGTATCAAACTTATCATAATTTTTAATTTGACTGGTTTTGTATATTTAGCTGTATTGCCCACTGTGTCTGAATCATCAGAAGAAGAAGTGAAGACGAGCCAGCTCACAGTTCAGCAGAACAAATTGTCTGTCCAGTCTAATCCCTCCCCTCAGCTGCGGAGTGTTATGAAAGTAGAAAGTTCTGAAAACGTCCCTAGCCCCACACATCCACCAGTTGTAATCAATGCTGCAGATGATGATGAAGATGATGATGGTAGGTTTTAGGTTTTTCTTTAATAAAGGCAAATAAGCAGTCAGAGTCATGTATTAAATTGTACAGAATGAGAGTTAATGCTCTAAGTCTGATTTAAATCGTAAATTTGTCCTCAATGTTGACGTACAGACCAGTTTTCTGAGGAGGGTGATGAAACTAAAACACCTACCCTGCAACCAACTCCTGAAGTTCATAATGGATTACGAGTAACTTCTGCTCGAAAACCTGGGGTCAATTTAAAGCAAGGTAAGAAGAGGCTATGTTGTTGTTGATAAATCTTTTAGCACTGTTGAAATATGTCCAGACTATTGTGATTACTTTTGAAATTCAGTTCAGTTATGGATCTCTCTATTTTCTCCCCCATACTATATAAACGTATTTTCTCCTAGTCATTCATTAAAGAAATATTTTAATGTCTTCCATGCTCTAGTTCTTCATGAGATTTACATTTTGGTTTTTCAGGGGAATGTTTAAATTTCGGAATAAAAACTCTTGAGGAAATTAAATCAAAGAAAATGAAAGAAAAATCTAAGAAGCAAGGTGGTAAGTCACAACAGTTTGGGCACAGTTTGGTTTTACAAGTATGTTACCACTTCTTGAAGCAACAGCAAAAATGAGCAAATAGATTTTGAGTCATGTGGCTTGTTTTAAGTATAACAGACTTATTTGCAGCAGTGTCTCAATGCCTAACTGTTCAGAGCTAGATATATGTAGTAACCTAAAAGAACCTGTGTATCTTGGCAAGCATAGCTCTGAAGAATACCATATAAGAACCATATTATTTATAAGTTGAGAGGGGAAAAATGGACCATCTTAAGAGAGCAAACATGCTGATCGCAGTCCTGTATTGCCAGCTATTTGGGAGGCTGAAGCAGGAGGATTGCAAGTTTGAGGCCAGTCTTAGCAACCTAGCAAGACTCTATATGAAAGTGAAAAATTAGAAGAGCTGGTGCAGTCCCGTAATCCCAGTGACTTGGGAGACTGAAACAGGAGCAGGACAGCCTCTACAATGTAGTGAGGCCCTAAGCAATTTAGTGAGACCCTGTCTCAAAATGACAAATAAAAATGGCTATGGACATAGCTCAGTGGTAGGGCACCCCTGAGTTCAATCCCCATGTCACCCAAAAAAAGAAGGCAAAAACTTCATTTTGTGATAGAAGAGTGTTTCCTTGAGAGTTGCTGGGTTTTCTTCTGGAGCTTCTCTCAATCTGGTAATATATATTTCCAACCCTAAAAGTTTTAGATAAGATGTGAAATGTAGTATRTAGAGAGAAAGATGGTTGGTTCTAAGAACTATCATATTAAAGCTTATTCTATAAGAACCTTGAGTTGTRTGTAATGATTTTAGATGGAAAGGTTAAATTGATACACCTGATGGTTAATATACTTCTGAGATTAACTTTAGAATACTTGTAGCCTTACCAGTAAATAAAAGTAGGTTGAGTGCCTCATAGATTTGAGTTATATAAATTTATTTTATATTTTATTTTCACATTGTATCCAAGCCTTTCCCTAACATTACCCCATTTCACTGGGCAGACAGGTACAGAAAAGTGATTGATTTGTATCATATAGCAGTCAGTATTGAACTTAACTAGTCATAAAGACAATTTTTTTTTTTATTTATGATAGCTTTATTTTCCACAAATTATTTGCCATTCTTTGACTTTCCTTATTTAGAAGGTTCTGCAGGAGTTTCCAGTCTTTTACTCCAACCTCAGCCTATTCCAGGTCCCGAAAAAGAGAATGTAAGGACTGTGGTGAGGACAGTAACTCTGTCAAACAAACAAGGTAAGGTATAGGTAGATCTGAGAGTTGTTGGCCTTTTACTTTAATGCAGTCATTGGGAATGAAGAATCTTTAGGATTTTTTTTTTACCTTTTACGGATTTGCATGAAGACTTCAGTGTATTGATCAGATATAAGGATAAAAAGAAGTACATTTGGCTCTACCATTTAAAAGGTAGAAATACTTAATTAAGCCATCCTCACATTTATTTATATTTAATTTATACGCTTACTGTTTATATTCATTCAGCTAATTTATTGGCTTCTTATTGTGGATAAAGAATTGTAATAAATGCTTTGAGTTACAAAAAAATACAAGTCTTTTCACTCAACAGTTTAAAATCTAGTAAGGAATAAATTTCAGTATAATAGGTACACTTAAATTTATGCCAAACAACCAAAAATTAGAGGAAAGAAATCTTACATGGCGGGGTGATAAAAGAAAGTTATATAATAAGGCTTATCAAAGTGCCAAAGCAAAAATAAAGCTTGGGATGGGCATGGTGGTGCACACYTATAATCCTAGCAACAGGAGGCTGAGGCAGGAGGATCACTTGTGATCCAACCTCAGCAACTTAGTGAGACCCTGTCTCAAAATAAAAAATTTAAAAAGGGGGAGGTGCTGGGAATGTTGGCTCAGTGGTTAAGCATCCCTAGGTTCAATCCCTGATACAAAAAAAAAAAAAGTAAAAAGCTTGGGCTCTGTAACCAATTGGAACATAATTTGTATTATACTTGGTTGCGTTAATAATTAAAACTGTGCTGTTGGCTTTTGTTTGGGCTGTGCATTTGACTGCTTAAAATTATTAAAATTGTTTTTTTGTTGCTGTTGTTGTTATTGTTCAATGTAATAGATTTCCTTAAGACTTGAGACCTGATTTTCAGGACAATTCTGGGGCAGGGTGATAATATACTTTGTACATGTCAGAATATACTTTGTACCCATTATTAGTAGTTATTAAGTACTGAAAACTTGGCTAGTAGTAGAGAATTCTATTTTTGGCATTTCAGGAGAAGAACCCTTGGTTAGATTGAGTCTTACTGAGAGACTGGGAAAACGAAAATTTTCAATGGGTAAGATAGATCTTGTGCATATCTTTTGTTTTTTGTTTGCGTGTTCATAAGCATGATAATCTTCTCTAAACTCAAATCCTATTGAAATTGATTTGCTGGGCCCCCTGTGTTCTTAGCTAAAAGCACTTACAAAATTTCCTCATTTTTTTATGTGTGTATTATACCTTTTATTAAAGTCAGAATTTAAAGTGTTGAAATTTTTTTGTGTGTGTGAGAGAGAGAGAATTTTTTAATGTTTATTTTTTAGTTCTTGGCAGACACAACATCTTTGTATGTGGTGCTGAGGATCGAACCCGGGCCACATGCATGCCAGGCGACTGCACTACTGCTTAAGCCACATCCCCAGCTCCTAAAGTGTTAAAATTTAATTAGATTGTTGGCCATGACCAACTTTGTAGAAAGTATTAGGTTTAAAAAACAGTGATGAATACATCATTACTTTATTATAATGCACCATCAAAAAAATAATTTGAATTTTTTTAGTTCAGAGATTTCTTATCACTGTCTTATGTACTCAAATTTTGAAACCTTGAGCCAGGCATATATAAATTTATTTTATATTTTATTTTCACATTGTGCCCAAGTCTTCCCCTAACCATTACTCCATTTCACTGGGCACACACCTGTAATCCCAACTGAGCCAGAAGAATTGTGAGTTCAAAGCCAGCCTCAGCAACTTAGGCTCTAAGCAATTCTGTGAGACTCTGTCTCTAAGTAAAATACAAAGTAGTGATGGGAATGTGGCTCAGTGGTCAAGTGCCCCTGAGTTCATTCCCAGGTACCAAAAAAAAAAGCAGAAACCTTGTCTCCATTCTGTTTTCTTCCATACTCTTCTCACTGCCCTTTCTTCAAAACTGTTCTGAACTTAGTAGCATTTCAAGTTTTCAGTCAGAAAGTGTGATTTTGATTGACTCAGTTATGCAGATATCACCCTAAGTAATTAAAAAAAAACATTTGAGTGATTATATCAAGCCTAATAATGAAATATGATATTTGATGTGAATTTGTTAAGKGTACGCTTTCAACTATTCCTCAGCACCATGAGGAAACTAGGCATAATACTGGCACTTAATAAATGCCAGCAAATATTTTATGCATTCAGCATAAACTTAGTAAAGCCTAAATAACTTTCCTAAGGTCATATTCAGATGAATTTATTATGGATTCAGCATTTGGCCAGCTAAGATTTTTTTGTGATGGTTTTTCACATTCCTGGTTCTAAACTTCAGCCTCACCAGGGCTTGTGGTTCTCCATAGGATCAGTACATTGTGTGATCAAGTATGTTAGTTACTCAGTAAATATTCTTTTATGCAATTCAGGTTTTTGTCCCTTACCTTTTCTTTCTGGGACTTTTATTCTTTCTCCAACATAGAGTTTTGGGAAGCTAGTGAACAAACATACCATGCAAATGGAGAAAACCTGTTAGAAGTAGTCATCATTGTCTCTTTTTGCTTGTATTTTTTGACCTCCACAAGTTCCCCCTGTTTGTAGGTGGTGACAATGATCCCCCATTAAAGCGGAGCCTTGCACAGAGGCTAGGGAAGAAAGTTGAAGCTCCAGAAACCAACCTTGAGAAAACACCAAAAAAAGGTAGGTATCTCTGTTTTAATACATGGTGTGTGTGTGTTGGTGTGCATGTGTATACGTGTGTAATTACCCTTGTTATAATGTTAACAGCTGTGGTTCTTCATCCTTTTGGTCATATAAATTATTATTTTTTAGTACATGCGAGGTGCTGGGTTCAATCCTCAGCACTACATAAAAATAAATAAATAAATAAAGATATTGTGTTCAAGTACAACTAAAGTGTATATATATAATATATATATATATATATTTTTTTTTTTTTTAAGAAATTTATTTGCATTTGCCTCTAACTACTTTGGGGGGCTTTCTTAAGAACTCAAAGCAAGTGGAGTTACTGTGTTTTTTGTTTTGGTACTGAGGATTGAAACCAGCGGCACTTTACCACTGAGCTACATCCCTAGCCCTTTTTATTTTTGATATTTGGTCTTGCTAACTTCCTTAGGACTTCACTAAGTTGCTGAGGCTGGTCTCAAACTTAGGATCCTCCTGCCTCAGCCTCCCAAGTCGCTGGGATTACAGGCGTGTATTCCCATGCCTGGTACCAAAACATTTAGAAAGTGTACAGTAACAGAATTATTTCCCTGAATTTAGTAGTTTTTGCTTTTGAGGTATAAAGARATTTTTTGAAATTTTACAAAATGCTCTAGGGAATTCAGGGTTTATATAAGTCTGCTCTATGGAGAAGAAAAATTTTAAGACCTTGAGTTATTTTTTTTTAATTGCATTAGAACTATAGCTTAATTCATGAACTTTGAAAAAATATTTGAATATAAAAAGTCTGTGTTCAACTTTTGAGTTTGAAATTTTTGTCTTTTTGTAGTGCAAGTTTCCAAATCTTTGAAGGAGCGACTAGGCATGTCAGCTGGTTCAAATAATGAGGAAGCCACAGGTACATAAATAGACTCATAAGATGATTATGATGTGCATGATTGTATGGCATGGTAAGTACATGCCATAGAAAATAACTGGAAAAAAGTGGCTAGAAATGTGGCCCAGAGATAAAGTGTTTGCTTAGCATGTGTTAGATCCTGGGTTTGACTGACCCTAAAACTGGGAGGAGGGGAGGATCCCCCACTAAAAATACAACACCAAAATGTTAATACTAATTTTATCTGTATCTTGAGGTTGTAGGTAATTTTAATTTTTTCTCTTATATTCTTTCTATACAATAATATTTTTAAAAATTGTGTGACATAACTACATAAGATTTGTGTATACATGTACAATTTAAAGTGTAATGAAATGAACATTCATGCACTCAGCCATCCAGCTTTCTTGGATGTAGTGCTGGGAATCAAAATTAGGGCCTCATAAATGTTGGCCAAGTGCTGTACCACTGAATTATACCTCCCACTCTCCAGCATTTGTTTTTGGTTTTTGGGTTTTTGTTTTGTTTTGTTTACAAATTGCAAGATTTATATGTGTGATACGTTTTGTGTAAGTTTAACATCAGTATTTATGAATGATGATAGTCTATATTTTTCTTTTCATTCCATTAACAGATTTGAATATTAATGTTATACTAGCATCATAAAAAAGGAGTCTGACATTGGACATTCTTAATTTTTTTTTGGATAACCTAAATTTATTCAACAGAAATCTTTAGGATTTTTTTTTTTCTCTTCCTGCCTAATACATTGCAACTTCACTGAAGTGGACCTAAGTGTTTGTTCTGAACAGTATTCATTGAGCTCATTGCATCTAAGAACTTGTTTTTTTAATTCTAGAAAACATTCTTCTGATTTCTTTTGAGTATGACCTCTGCATCTTTGTTTTTGGTTTTCATATGAATGATGTTGGAACTGGGCACAGTGACACACACCTATAATCCCAGTGGCTCAGGAGGCTGGGATGAGAGGATCACCAGTTCAGAGCCAGCCTCAGCAATTTATCAAGACCCCAAACAACTTAGTGAGACCCTGTCTCTAAATAAAAAATAAAATGGGCTGTGGATGTGGCATAGTGGTTAAGCACCCCTGGGTACCAAAAAATAAGAAAAGATGTTAGAACTTTGTTCATATGCTTCCCATGTCTCTTGACCTTGTCTTTATACTTTCCATCCTTTTGTTTTTCCCCTCACCCTCTATGAACTTTGTTTGGCTTTATTTTATTTTAGATCAGGATTAACAAAATATTTTTTTCTGTAAAGTGTCATGTAGTAAATATTTTAGGCTTTGTGTTGGGTTATCTCAGTGGTAAGTGCTTTCTTAGCATGTGTGAGGCCCTGAGTTTAATCTCCAGCACTGCAAAAAAAACGAAACAAAAATTATTTAAGTTTTGTGGTCCACAGTTTCACGCCATTGTAGTACGAAAGTAGCCATGTGTAATGTGTAAATGAATGAGTGTGGATTTGTTCTGACAAACTTAATTTACAAAATTAGGAGGTGGTCAGATTTGGCCTCCAGCATATAGTTTGCTGGCCTTGTTCTAAATGGCTGATTTGGGACCAGCCTCATCTAATTTTCAGTATTTAGTCTTTTGTTCTCTCATTTTTCCTTTTTTCACAGTCTAATTTCAAGTTGCTCTAGGGTTTCTGATTTGAATCTAGGATTTTGTTTTTTGGGTGCTGGGTATGGAACCCAGGACTTCATGTATACTGGRCAAGTATTCTACTGAATGACATCCCCAACCCTGAATCTGTTTTTTAACATTTGTATGAATGTATTGTTTTGGCTTCATGCTTAGTTTATTTTATTTTTGATGATGTTTTTCTGTAGTTAAATGGCTGGGCTAAGTTTCTTCTGTGTTCTAAAGGCGATTTTCCAAAGAATCCTCTCTTCTGAGTGGGAGACTTGATTTATGTCTGGTCAAGTAGAGGAGGTATACTAAAACACTCACCTATACGGATTGCAGGCCAGAAAGCTGGGGATCTTATTGTGGCAATTGCCACAATAAGACTTTTTTTTTTTTTTTTTTTGCAGTACTAGGGAATTGAACCCAGGTGTCCTGCTCTACCACTGAGCTTCATCCCCTGGCCTTTTTTTTTTTTTTTTTTTGAGACAGGGTCTCTCTCAAGTTGCTAAGGCTGGCCTATACTTGTGATCCTCCTGCCTTAGCCTCCCTAGTTGCTGGGATTACAGACATGCAAAGATTTTTTTCACTTTCAGAGAAACATTTTTCCTTTTCTTGCTTTTCTCTTCCCAACTCTGCTTTTCCGTTTCATACTTGTAAAAGTCTATAATTTTTATGCCTTACTTCTCTCCAACCCTGATATCTTCATATCTTGAGTAGATTCCTCTTTTCTTTTTCTTGTCTTTTCCACTGGTGCTAGGGATTGAATCCAGGGCAAGTACTCTTTCACTGGCCCAGACTTTCCTTCTTTAAAAGGAGTAATTTGGGCTGGGTTCAATCCCCAGCACCATACACACACACACAAAAAGTAAAAGGAATAATTCTCAGGAAGAGGTCATAACTGACTGACAGTTCTAAAATTGATTAATTAATTTCTTTGTTTTTTTCCTTTTCTCTATTTCTTTTTTCTGGTAGTAAAATCTAGGACCTCACTCAGGCTAGGCAAGTGCTCTACCACTGCCCCAGTCCTTCAATTTCTACCTTAATAGTTATCTCTGAGCCCACTGTTGCTTCTTCTCCCATCCCACCTCTATGCTGGGGATTGAACCCATGGCCTTTGCATGATAGGCAGGTACTTTGCCATTGAGCTACATCCCATCCCAGCACCCCACTTTTGATTTTCATACTAATTAAACCAAATTTCACAGTTTATTTTGGTTCTGTTGGGAAGAACAAGACTCACCTCTGCATTAACTCTTCTTTTTCCATTTTTCTTTGAATCCAGATATCTGCTTTCTGTCTTAAATTCTTCAAGATTTATACTCTACCATTGGCATCCTTTCTTATTAGTAGAGATTTATTCTAATTTTAACTTCTATCATTTCAGTGAAATTTCAACATTCATGTTGTTACTTTAAGTGGTAATTCCAAGATAGATCTGCCATCTTGAAATGGAAGAATTTATAACTGTAATKTAAAAAGCTAAAGAGCTGGGCATGGTAGCATATGCTTATAATCCCAGCTACTTGAGGCAGGGGGATTGCAAATTCAAGGCCAGCCTGGGCAACTTAGCGAGATCCTATCTCAAAAGGAATTTTAGAAGGGTTGGGGATATAGCTCAGTGGTAGAGTGCTCCTGGGTTCAGTCCCTAGTACCCAAAACAAAAGGCCCTAAACACATAATTCAGAAGCACTTTTGTGAAATTTATTTTTTAGTTTTAAACAGATATAGAATGATTGCTATATCATTAAAACTAACTTCTTCAGGGCTATTCCTCCCTCTGAAGATGACTCACATTTTTGCGTGAGTGTATTCCTTTCTTTACTCCTAAAGGTTCTCACTCTCATGTTAGCCCACATTCTCCCTTGAATGTGCCTCTGCTTTCTTAAATAACCCTCTGTCTGTGCCTTTGGTGGGTAGTGTGGGGAGAAGCTCTTGGATAGTGCCAATTTATAAGGGTTTCTCATTATTCTCATCTTGTCACCTATGTGACCTCCTTTTTATCCTTAAAAAGTATCCTTAAAATATTACTTCTTTTTGCAGCTAGGGTTGTGGCTTAGTGGTGGAGTGCACACTTAGCATATGTGAGGCCCTGGTTTTGAGCTTCAGCACCACATAAAAATAAATAAATAAAATAAAGGTATTAAAATATCACTTCTTCTGAAGTTGCCCTCAACTAGCTCCTGGACAACAGTTGACATTCTTGTTGTGTGCAGTTACCATTAGCATACTTTGGTTTTGCTGGGTTAATTATTGGTCTGTCAAACTCAAAACTACACTAGGGCAGAGGTTATATTTTGCTTTCTTATAGTTCTAGTACAGTGTCCAGTACAGGTTTATATCTTTGGATAGAAGAATTATTGCTTTTTTATTGATAAGATTTATAATAACACATTTCTTCAACTAATAAATAGTTTTCAGGTTCTTTGGGGATTAGCTTCTTAGTAGAAATACAAATCAGAAATTTTTAACCTCCTTAGTTTTCTTTGAGTGCTACTGCCTGAAATATACAGTAATCTGAATTTGTATGGAGGGGTAGGGGGTACTGCTGATTAAAACCACAGGCACTCCTTTACTGAGCCAAATCCCCATCCCTTTAAATTTTTTATTTTAAGAGATGGTCTTAAGTTGGTGAGGCTGGCTTTGAACTTGTGATCCCCCTTCTTCAGCCTTCTGAGTTTCTGGGATAAGAGGAGTGCTCCACTACCGGCCACTAATTTAAAATTGAGAGTGAAACTAATGTTATACTCTTGATCCTTTTAATTGCCTACCTAAATGATACCATTCTGTTGAACTGTCTTAATCCTAGAGTAAAGAAATCTTAAGAGATACATTTGAAGTATAATGACATGATTTTTTCTAAAACAGAGAGAGTTAATAAAGCTGGTGAAATCCATGTGAAGACATTAGAAGAAATTCTCCTTGAAAGAGCCAGTCAAAAACGTGGAGAATTGCAAACTAAACTCAAGACAGAAGTACCTTCAAAAGCTGATGATTCTATTTCAGGAACAAGAAGCTCCTCCACCATCCGAATCAAAACCTTCTCTGAGGTCCTGGCTGAAAAAAAACATCGGCAGCAGGAAACAGAGAGACAAAAAAGCAAAAAGGATGCCACTTGCATCAAGCTAAAGACTGATAGTGAAGTTAAAAAAGCAGTGGTTTCGCCACCCATAGTTATCAGCAAAGGACAATCAGAGGAACCTGCAGGTAGAACAAAGTCTATGCAGGAGGTACACATTAAGACTCTAGAAGAAATTAAACTGGAGAAGGCACTAAGGGTGCAGCAGAACACCGAGAGCAGCACCAGCTCCCAGCCTCACCCTGAGCCTGCCCCAGGGTCAAGGCGGCTACTTCGAATCACCAAAAGAACAGGTGTGTAGTGCTACTTCCCCAAATACTATTCCAGAAAAAACAGTGTGCCCCTGGGATCTTCATACAAGTTCTTTGAAAACTTTGTTCAGATAACTTTGAAAAGCACTGGATTCAAAGAATCTAAGCTATTTGTTTATAGTTGCACTGTGTAGACCTTCAATACTTTAATGTGCATTTTAAGAATTTATAAGACCAGTGGGTTTTTTAATCTCGTTTTCTTTATCATTTTATCATTATTCTCATTAACAAAAGTTTAACTTCAACTTTCACAAAGTTGCAGCCAAAATGGTAGACCTGATGATGTCTTTAATGTGAATATAGGTATGAAAGAAGAGAAGAAACTTGAGGAAGGAAGTGAAGTTGCTTCTCAGACCAGTGCTACTGGAGCTGAGGCTAATGAGGTGAGTAAATTTAAGATTGTTTTGCAGTTTTTTTTTTTTTTTTTTTTTATGGTGAAGGCTAGATGAATGGTAAAGTGTTTTAGTTTCAGATTATAATTAATGTCTATTTAACATTTCACTGAAACTTCAGGTATGCTTTTAATTTTCTCTGAACATTTCTTATAATTTTCTGTATGTCAYGGGTGCTTAACCACTGAGCCACATCCCCAGCCCTTTTTATATTTTTTTTAGACACAGGTTCTCACTGAGTTGCTAAGTGTCTCATTAAGTTGCTGAGGCTGGCTTTGAACTTGTGATCCTCCTGACTCAGTCTCCCAAGCTGCTGGGATTACAGGTGTRTGCCACCATGCCCAGCTGAGAAACTTTTCTTTTTTAAAAGAAAGAACAAGCCAGGTGCAGTAGCTTGTGCCTGTGGTCCCAGCTACTCAGCAGGCTGAGGCAGAAGGATCACTTGAGCTCAAGAGTTGAAAGCCAGCCTGGACACATAGTGAGGCCCATCTCATAAAAAGAGAAAAAGGAATTAACAAATCCTATAATTGTCCGACCCAGATGTAACCACCATTAAGTTTTTCAGGGATTTCCTTTAAGTTTTTTGTTTTATATATGTGTGTGTGTGTGTGTGTGTGTGTGTGTGTGTGTGTATGTGTATGAGTCTATTAATGTTTAATTCATTTTTAGAACATGATGTAGAATTCTACTGTCATTTTGCAGACTCGCTTTACCATATTAGTGAATCTTTAAGAAATTTGTATTTATTGACTACATAAAAATATTCTGCTATATGCATATAATCTTTCTGGGCGCTTAGATTTTGTTTTATAAAGTAATATTTTTGTGCTTAGGTCTTTTGTAAAGGTGATTATCTAGTAGGCATTAGTATTTGACTTGGGGTCATGGTTATCTAGCCTATATAATGTGGGGGGTTTTTTTTGTTTTTTTTTTTTTTTTACTGTTTCATACATCTTCAGTTTTAACCTTTCATCTTTAGCAGCATGTTCCCTATGTAATATCAAAGAGTTTTTCTCTAGGTTCTATATCATGCTACAATCTACTTAATTTACATTTTAGCTCAATACTTTATAAATAACAAGCTTAGATTATTAGAGGTACTAAATTATTCTGTCATTTAAATTTGTTCATAGGCTCCAGATGAAACTATGGGAATTGATATCACTAAAATTCCAGTTAAGAAATGTGAGACCATGAGAGAGAAACACATGCAGAAACAGCAGGAGCGGGGAGGTTCACAAAAGGAAAAATCAGTTTTGATGCCCCTCCGGGGAGATTCAGCCTCTTGCAATACCCAAGTGGTGGAAAAACCAGTGCTCACTGCCATGTCAGGCCTCCCACGGCAGCCAACCAAGCGGCTTCCCACAAAGTCATCCCAGAAGGTGGAGGTAGAAACTTCAGGGATTGGGGACTCCATATTGAATGTGAAATGTGCAGCACAGACTTTGGAAAAAAGGGGTAAAGGTGAGTGTTTTCTTTTTTCTTTTTTTTTTTTTTTTAAAGAAAGAGAATGACAGAGAGGGAGAGAKAGAGAGAATTTTAATATTTATTTTTTAGTATTTGGCAGACACAACATCTTTGTCTGTATGTGGTGCTGAGGATCGAACCCGGGCCGCACGCATGCCAGGCAAGCGCGCTACCGCTTGAGCCACATCCCCAGCCCTTGTATGTTTTGCTTTAGGACATCAAAATTACCAAGTTTGAAAACTTTGTCCAAAACTTTATAGTGCATCTTTTCTCTGGTTTTGAAGAATAGAATAATAACAGATTCAAAAGCCAGTAAAAGGGGTTGAGAATGTATATCTACATAATAAACACATGTAGTGGATCATTTTCAGTGTGGATTTATATATTTTCTTGTTACTCCTAGTACTCAAGGAATTTTGTTACTTTATTCTGAATTATTTTTATGTAAAAAGATTTTTCTAGCTATTAATATTTTCTCTCTTATAGCTAAACCCAAAGTAAATGTGAAGCCATCTGTGGTTAAAGTTGTTTTGTCTCCCAAATTGGCCCCAAAACGCAAGGCAGTGGAGGTGCACCCTTCTGTCATTGCAGCTGTGAAGCCACTCAGTTCTAGTAGTGTCCTGCAAGAAAGCCCAGCCAAAAAAGCAGCTGTGGTAAGTAGAAGTTCCACCTTAGCGGTAGGTACTATATACTATGTGGTAGAAAAAACAAACTCCCCATAGTGTTCTGCCTATATCTATGTTTAACACTTCCTGCCATTTCCTGAGCATTTAGGTTGTTTAGGTTGTTACTCTATTTTAAATTTACAGTTTTTGTRATATTTACAGATATTTGTGAAGTATGGGAGGACAAGATTTTTAAAAGCCAGTTTTCAGGTGGCAAGATATATGATTTCCTTGTACACTCAACCTTTGGATTATTGATTCTTGAATTCCCAAGTTTACATAATGATAACTGTTATGCTGGGGCTGAACCTCAGTAGTAGAGCACTTACCTAGCATGTTCAAGGCCCTAGGTGCCATTCCTAGCATCATGAAAAAAAAGAAGGATGGCCACATGAGGTGGCGCACACCTGAAATCCTAGCTACTAGAGAGACTGAAGCCCAAGGATCCCAAGTGTGAGGTCAGCWTGGGCAATTTAGCAAAACCTTGTTTCAAACTAAACAGCAATGGGTAGAGCACTTGATGAGCATGTGTGAGGCCCTGGGTTCAGTCCCCAGTACTGCAAATAAATAATAGAAGAATGATAGTTATGAATATGCTCAAATATAAAAACCTGTCTTTTCCACTGAATTACCTTACTCTTTTGTAGGCTGTTGTCCCACTCCTCTCTGAGGACAAACCAATCACCATGCCTGAGACAGAAAAACCTAGAGACAGGTAATTCTTCTTAACCAAACTCTAGGCCACTGTTGTTTCTACTSTATCAAGAATGATATGGATAAGTAACTTAAGTTTTTACAGTTTAGCCCCATCTAAACAAATATGAACTTCAAGTTAACTGCAAGAAAGCATGAAATTCGGGATTGCTGTTCTCCATTGGTGCCACATTATCTAGAAGATGTTTTTCATACCTGGCTAAATTATACTCAGAACTATGAAAATGCTTTGTTCCAAAACAGTGAAATCATTTATTCTTTGTGTCCTCAGAAGTAATTTTTTGCTAACTCTGTATTCCTGAGACCTGTGGGTGAGCTAACCATTGAAAACTGGCACAATTAGTTCTGATAATCCCTTCTATTTTTCTTACAGTTTTGTGCTGCCTCCAACCCAGTCCTCTTCAGATTCCTTACCCCCAGAAGTATCTGGCCCTTCCTCATCCCAAATGGTCACGAAACCTCGCCGGCTCAGCTGTGCCTCAACAGGAAAGCCCCCACTCTCTGTGGAGGATGATTTTGAGAAACTAATATGGGAAATTTCAGGAGGCAARTTAGAAGCTGAGATTGACCTGGATCCTGGAAAGGATGAAGATGACCTTCTGCTTGAGCTCTCAGAAATGATTGACAGCTGAAGGTGGTAGTGAGAACACTTAAAAAAAAAAAAAACTCACCAAAAAACTGGACTTAGTTTCATCTATTGTATCTATTTTAACATTTACCTGAAGTGATCATTTCTTTAGTCTCAAATTTGCCCCAAATCAGAAGTATACCTCTGAATTATCTGTAATGTGTCCTGGATTCTTTGGGGTCAGATTTTTTCCAGTCCCTTGATAACCATTTTTTTTCCCCACATCATTTAGCATCCTTGAGAAAAAAAGTTATTTAATACTCTTTTCTCCACAAAAAAGAGACTGAGGGAGATCCAAGTGAAAAGGGTGCAAGAGAACCTAGTGACTCCTTGAGGTGTTTGTCAGTTTTGGCTGTTTTCCTTTTTGTTGTATTCTTTCTTTTATGTTTTGTCTTAATGTACTTAATATTATCTAAGTTTGGACGAAGACAGCTGCTACCATTGTGGACCAAATTTCATGCTACCACTAAACAAAAAACCCCACTCACTCTGTGTTATATTGTATGTCTTTTTAAAGGTATTTGGAGATACAACTAAGCTTTAAAGAGGGCTGAGCAGCTCAAGAAACCTGAAATACGGACATAACTCTTTGGACCTGATTTTGATGCTTCAGCTGCTCTGTAAGCCTCTGAAGAGCAATAGCTAACTTATTATTACTGTAATTTTTTTAAAGGCTTTAAAGTGCCTCAGGGGTCCTCTGAAACTAATTTTCTACTTGGGATTCCCTGGATTCTTTATAAGAGATGGTAACATGATTAGAGGAATTCTTTTTTAGTATGAAAGTTGTCCCTTCTTCAGTACTTGCCTCCTGTTGGCATTGAATTATCACAGGGACAAAAATTGGTTAATTTTTTATTTCTAACTCTCCTAGCAAGCTCCTCTTGCCCAATATTTATTTGGTGCCCTTTATGCACCACAGGATTAAAAAAAAAAAAAACGAACTCATTCAAGCTGCCAATATTTGTCTACGGACCGTAGCAGTACACTGAATTGTACTGTAGCAGGGATATTGAGATGCTCTGGGGGTGTATTGTATGCCTTCCAGTTTTCTTCATTTCCGAATTGAATTTTCTTTTCTTGATGTTGGTCTCCTTCATATCACCTCAAGGTTTAGACTTGTGAAGGAACAAGAATGATGAGGATGAGAGTCTTGAAAGGAGACATATTGTACATAATCTGAAGGAGGAGAAAAGAAGGACTTGTCCATTTTGATACTTTGCTGTAGGTGGCCAGTTTTGTTTCTCAAAGGGAAATCTGAACCACCTGTCACGTTGGCTCCTAAGGAACTGCTGTTGTAAGCGGCTCATCAAGAGTTGAACTTCATATAGCCTTGTTTGGGAATATGGAAAAGGAAGAAAGCCACAGGACTGCTCATTCAGTCTTGGGAAGATCTGGATGATTCTGCACAAGCAAAAATGACTTGAAATTTATGTATAGACACACCTCTACCAATCCATCTTCAGCTGACTGAATGTTGTATGATAGCCCTTCTCCAAAGCAGGGGTGGAATGTTGCGGTTTCACCAGATTTTATAAACTCATTTCATTTTTGGAATCAGCTGATTCCAGATCCTTTTTTGTATATATAACCTTTATTCTTTTTCTTTTTTAAAAAATAATTCTGTTTCATATTTAAAGCCCTTGTATTAGTCGATGATTCATGTTCAGCATTATTTGAACCATTTGCCATTATAGAAAGAGAAATACTTATTTGTGTTTTAAATAAAACTGGTGTAGGAAAGTCTTGACGTGAGTTAAGTAGTCTTACATCACTTCACCTAGCTCTGCCTTGATCAGAGGCCCCCAGTCAGAGTGTTACTGACCCTTTGTTTAAGTGCTTCAGTTTCTGTTTGGCTTTAGAAATCATGCAAGAACAGATCTCCAGACTTACCCTTAAATGCACTATTTTAGTTGTATGTTTTAGGTAAGAATGCATATAATTATATGTAAGGATTCTTTCTGACACTGACAATTGGTCCTTATCATTGTAATTTAAGTGCTGCCATTTTTTAAAAGAAGGGAGGGTTTAAAAATATCTTAGATTCAGTGATTTAGAATTTTCAAGCATGAAGGTGAAACATAAAAAATTTAATTCAGGAAATTCCAGGTTTTTTCAATGTGTGTACCATTTATTTTAATCATTATGAGAATACATATAAATTTGTTAATGAGCAAAGAATATAGATTTTTCCTAGTAGTATAAATTTATAGTCCTGGGCTGGGGATGTAGCCCAATAGTTAAGAGTGCTTGCCTTATAAATGTGAGGTCCTGAGTCCAGTGCCCAACATAGAAAAAAAAATTATCCTAACCAGTTGAGTAACAGTAACAAAAAAGCAAAACAGATTGCATATATAATTTTAAGTGACAACAGTTTTCAGTTTTAACAGAAATGGGCCCAAATGTTGTAGTTTGGCCTTATCCAGAAATATAGTTTTATAATCATGTATATATATCAAGATGAACAATTCATAAAGTTCTGACCTTAACCCTAAATTCCACATGGATGGTCAAAACAGTACCCAACCAGCCTTTGGAGCTACCACAGAGATAGGACTGATTTAAAATTTCACAAAGCTTGATTTATTTTGATCCAAGTTCTATGATCCTTTTCTAAAATTATTGCTGCATTTTGCCCAAATATTCTGTAGTTTAAAATGTTTGAATTTGGCATTTTAGCAACAGGACATGCATGATCTCCATTTGTAACTTAATAGGTGATACTTTTTTAAACATTATTTATTATTCACCTTGAATTAATGTACCCATTTTGACACAAAATCCTGCATGTACCACTTAAAAAGATCATTGCTTTATTCCCCCACTGTAATTTCAGGGTCAGTATGTTCAGATTTAAATGCAAGAAAGTAGGATTCTTAGGTTCCACTAGGTTTATTTTAATCTGATTTTAGGAAGCTAATTACTTAATAATTACTATCTTTGAAAGTTCCCACACCCCCAGCCATCTGGCTACATTCATAATTAAGTCTTTAAACTGCAATTTGTTTTTGTTTTGCTTAGGACCTTGCTAAATTGCTGAGGCTGGCTTTGAACTTGCAATCCTCCTGTCTCAGCCTCCTTAATATGCAAAATGATGCTAAGTGACATGAGCACAAAAAAATAGTTGATCTCAACCATTTACTTATTGTACAATAGAACGGCAAAAGCTAAGCAATGATTAAATAATAGCAATCTAGGATTTAATTTTTATATTTAAAAACAATTTAGGACTCAGATTACAGAATGGGCCTGTTGATAAACTATTTAAATTTGGTTGGATTTAACAGCAAAAATGTTTTAAGAGTCAGCCTTGCAGTAAGCAAAAAGCAGTAAAGACTCCTGTTGAGTGTTGGAAAGCAGGTGGATTAAGAACATTCAAACAGAGCATGGTGACAAATACCTGTAATCCCAGCAATTTGGGAGGCCTTGGCAATCTAGTGGGACCACATGTCAAAAAATAAAAAGGGCTGGCGATGTAGCTCAGTGGTAGAGTGGTTCAGGCCCCAGTGCCACAACAAAAGAACTCAAAGCTAACAAAGGAGCTGGGCACAGTGGCTTGGGAGGTGAGTTCAAAGCTAGCCTTAACAAAAGTGAGGTGCTAAGCATCTCAGACCGTGTCTATAAATAAAATACAAAATTGGGCTGGGGGTGTGGCTCAGTGGTCAGGTGGCCCTGAGTATAATCCCTGGTACCCCTACCTCCCCCGACCCTGCCCCCCCCCAAAAAAAATAAGTAGCAAAGGAGGAAGTTTCAAAGGAAAAGAAGCAAAATGGAAGGAAAACTTACCTGAAAGGAAAACTTACCTTACATATGGTTTGAGTTGGGAGCTCAAGGAGGGYGGATTAAGTTTAGAAAAGCTACCAAGAGGAAATGATAAATATTCTGGCATTAATTGCCAAAAATATGTAGGATTCTCTCACCCTTTAATGGGCTCAAATTAGAAAGTTCTGAACTCAAACCATCATTAAGCACTACTGGTCATTAGGGGTAAAGGGGTATAAGCCCCAAATCCCTGCTGTCAAAGTAGAAGTACTTAGGAAATAATTTTAAAAGTAACCTAAGTAGCCAGCACAGTAGTGCACGCCTGTAATCCCAGCAGGGCCCTGAGGCAGGAGAACTGCAATTTCAAGACCAGCAATTAGAGACCCTGTCTCAAAAAGGGTTGATGGTGTAGCTCAGTGGTAGAGCACTCCTGGGCTCAATCCTCAGTACTGAAAAAAAAAAAAAAAAAAAAAAGAGCAAAGTAGGCATTGATATTAAGTGGATAATGCTATAGAAAAAAATACATTCCAGATTGGTCAGGATAGAGCTGAAGTTTAAGTAGCTTAAGAGATGATTTGAGCAGTATCCAACTGAGCAGGTAAGGTCTTTAAAGTAACCTCTGCCCATCCCTTAGTGTTCTCTTAGAGGCCCTGCTTTGTCTCATTTTTGTTCAGTTGGTTTCCAGTTATTCCTGGGCAAGGTATAAACTGATTTAAAAAAAAAAAAGATATATTTAAACTACAAAGTGAAGTCAACTCTGCTTATAAAATCTTCCACTGCCTTCCCTTTCCCTGCAAAATCAAGTTTCTCAGCATAGCATGTAACACCTTGGCTTAGAGCCTCTTCTGCCATTCACCAAGCTCTTCTACCTCCGGGCTTCAATTTACACACACACACACACACACACACACATACACACACACACACACACTGCCCACTCCTCTGTCTCCAGTCCCCTGCCTTTGGATAATGCTGGCTCTCTTCTCTCTAAAGCCTCTCCTTCTTTTATTTTGGCTAACTTCTACAAACCCTATGTTCCCCGGGCTCTCTCACAATACCCTTCTCTATCAAACTCGGGTTTGGTGTCCATCCACCAGGCATATACTCAGTGTTTATCCCCTTGTTTTAAAATTGTCTAGCTGTACATCCTATTTACATTCTCAGTACCCAGTAAAGGCCTGGCCCATAGGAAGGTACATTAGTCTACTCTGACTGCCATAGCAAAGTGCCACAGACAGTGGCTCAAACAAGAGAAGTTTATTTCTCTAGTTCTCCAGGCTACAAGCCCCAGATCGAGGCAGTGGCAGGTTGGGTTTCCAGTGAGGGCCCCCCCTTCTCTTCCTCCTTTTTCTCCACCTTCTCATCGTCACAGGACATTCTCCTGTATTCTGTTGGGGGAGAGAGACTCCGATGACTCTTCCTATGAGAACACCAGGCAGACTGAATGAGAGGTCCTACCTATCTGACCTCCAAAATCCCTGTCTCTAAATACAAACACATTCTGAAGTATTGGGAAGTTAGAACTTCAAGAGATGAGCTTTGGGGATACAATTCCTCCCATAACAAAAGACATTTAACAAATATTTGCTGAATGAATAAAAAAGTTCTTGGCTTATTTCAAGGGATGCTGATTTTTTTTTTTTTAAGATAGTTTCACTAAATTTCCAAGGCTGATCTGATCCTCCTATCTCAGACTCCCTAGTCAGGTTGCTGATCTTTGCAAGACTGCCCTTTGCCTCTTCCCAACTCTACTCTTTATTGTACTTCTAGTCAGTCACAGCTATTCGGCAAATTGTGAAGTTTCTGGCCGAGATGGAAGGAATTTCAAACTCAGCAGAAAAAGTTCTCAAGTATTTGGCAAGGTTGGAGTTACCTTTTTCAGGGGTATGTCTCTTTGGGCCAGGGTTTCTTAAGCCTATTTCCCACATACTTTGTGTCACAAAGTATGAACATTTTTAAAATTTAAAAAAGGAAACAAATGTTTCATAGTAGTATCCACTATCAAACATATTTAGTCAATTAGTGATATACCCATTACACAAATTTCAATTTTTTGAAGTACATGAGGGTATATAAAATCTTCCTTCCTACTTGTTCCCTAGCTACTCAGTTCTCCAAAGCTAAGCTTGCAGTGACCTGGGTTTTCTAAACATATCAGGCATATATCAGCAAATGAAATCCATACAGTATTATGTATTAATAAACACAATATTCTGGACCTTGCTTTATTTATTCAGGAAAATTTCATCATTTAGAAGTATTGAGAGTATTATAATTCACATAGTCACCTAGTTCCAACAATTACAAATTCATGGTCAATCCTTACCAACTATTTACCCCATATTCTGAGCCCTAWGGCTGAGGCTGGGCTGAGGCAAGCAAGAAGCTTGCACTCCATTTAAGGAGGTGTACATGTAAGTGTCGCCTCTTAAACTCTGCTAAAGTTTAGGCTTTCCTTATCTAAGATTTAGCCCTATTGGCTCCATTGGATTATTTTGAAATAAATCTCTAGCATGTCATTGCTTGATTTTTTTCTCTCAATGTACATTAGATATTGTTTCAATGTATACTCATATTGTTTCATATTAGAAAAGAAGATATACAGAGAGCTTCTTCAATCTTGATTATAGTTGAATAATTTTATACTCTTATGATATACAATAATTTGGCTAATCTTTATTGATAGACATTTAGGTTGTTTCCTATCTTGATATTTTAAACAAATGCTGCAATGATTACATTATTAACATATAAGTTTATCTGGAAAATGAATWTAAGTAGAGTTTAATAATTTACATTAGCACCACTTTTTTATTTTTGCCAGTCTAATTGGAAAGAAATGGTCATCTCAGTAGAGTTTAGTTTGGATTTCTCTTATGAGTGAAACTGGATAAACATGAAATTTCATGTTTAAAGATTGTATTTCCTTTGTTATGAACAGATTGTTTATATCCATGGACAATTTCAATTTTGTAACTTTCTGCCAGATTAAAAATAGCTTCAAGTTCTTTAATATAGCTCACAACAAGGGGTGGGCTCTATTTTTCCAGCTCTTGAATCTGCCCTGGGGTGTTTCAGGCCTGTCCTTTAACAATACTGGTAGTAGCCAAGTGTGGTGGTGCATGCCGGTAATCTCAATGACACAGGAAAATCACAAGTTCAAGGCCAACCTCAGCAATTTAGCAAGACTCTCAGCAACGAGGGAGACCTTGTCTCAAAAACTAATTTCTAAAAAAGGAGCTGGGATGTAGCTCAGTGGTAAAGCATCCCTGGGTTCAATTCTGAGTACCAAAAAAGAAAAGAAAAACGAGCCCTGGTAGCTTCAGCCTTGATTTAAGTCCTGAGCCCCCACATGTAAGAAAGCACACTACCCTGCTAAAGAGACAACAGAGAAAGGGCCTCAGCTAAGGCCAGTCTTCCAAAGACATGTGCCTGAGGTAGGTTTTCAGGAGCAGAAGAATCACCCTAAAAACCTGCTTAAATTCCCAACCCACAAAATCATTAATTATGGCAAAATCGTGGTTGCTTTAATTGCCTTAAGTCTGGGGACATTTCTTACACAGCAACAAAGAACCAGAGCTGCATTATTTTAGAGGAACTGTATATATTAGTAAAATTAGCCATGTATCTACTGTTATAAAAAAACATTTTTTTGTATCTTTAAATTTTTTAAATTATGGCCACTTTTTAGTCATCTTTGTCATTTTTATGTAGTTGAATTTATCATGCATTTCATCTAAAACTAGTTAAAACAAAATTGAGAAAAAAGAGAATTTTTCAAGAACAAGAGATGAAATATCTACACTTAAATTTAAATTCACAAGATCTATAAAAGTAAATTTAAAATTTCTGAAAATAGAAAAAAGATATTTATTTTTCCAGTATGGCAGCTCAAATTCAGGGCCTCTGGCATGCCTAGCAAACACCTTAAAATCAAACTTTACCTCAAGTCCCTAGATGTGGTAGCACATGCCTGTAATCACAGTTACTCAGGAGGCTGAGGCAGAAGTATGGAGTATTCACATTCATGGCCTGCCTGGGCAACATAGCAAGACTCTGTCTCAAAACATAACTTTTAAAAAATAGACATCATGTACATAAAAAATTGATTTTAAGTTACCATAGACATCATGTACATAAAAAAATTGATTTTAAGTTACATAATCACAAAAATTTCTAAAGGATTTTT